TCATTTATATCTAACTAACTGTACAATTTTGTAGTTCCGCACACCAAAATTCAACCTTTTTTCATAAAAACAAACTTACACACACTTAGAATAAAGTAAATAATAAAAAATAATAATACTAATATCGATATTCAAGAAAAGCTAAACCAACCATAGTATTGTGATTAGACAATACTCTACTAGGGTGTCTTTCTTTTCTCTACTAACCTTTTCTACAGAGAATTTAAAACAAAAAATAAACTCAAATGTCAACCAACATCAACAACAACAAAAAATAGTAGTAGTAGTAGTAGTGTAGTAGCATTGGGTTACTCTGATCACAATTTACATAAATTCTTTAATGTGTTTTATCATTCGCCTGACTTATTTCGTTATAACACATTCTTTTTCTATTTTGAAATACGTTTGTAGCTACCGTGTGTACAACATTGTTTTTGCATGACAGTTTGTTGTAACTGTTTATACAGAATTCAGAAATAAGTGATAAAATACACTTTGATTTGTATGCATGTATGGAATTTTTTTTCTTGTGCCTATAGTTGATGAGTAGTGCCATCTCGGTTAAAAAAATGGCATATCTAATCTCTATTATCCATTGCATGAAAACAAGTGCAGGTAGTGTTGAAACATGAAATTGTGTAATAAGCGTTTAGATCAGTATAACTTAGTCATAGTTCACATAGATGGTACATTCACTCGACTTAGTTTATTATGTATTCACAATTTTTCTTTTTTTTAAAAAAAAACTCAAGAATGTCAGCAGACTGATTTAATATACATTTTGTTCACATTTAAAGTAGCAATTTCAATAAAAGTTTGACAGTGCTTTTCTCGTTATCATATTAATATGTAGAACAACACATGCGAGCGAATAATATTCTGCTTTAAATTAGATTTTATCAGGCTTTAATCCAGCATACATTATTTCACAGATGACTATTAAATATAAAATAAACCCATTGATTGATTGGACCGAAGTGCTTGGCCTCAGGATGACAAGTCGGCTCCTTGTGCGCATGCTTCGATGATGTCTGCTTATTTAACCAGAAGTCAATTATTGAGTGGTAACTAGCAGTGGAATTTATGATGCACATTTCGTCCTATTTGGGACTCGTCATCCGGATGTACCTGCATTCCCCACTGGTGTTCCCATCAAGGCTGGAACCCAGCGTCCATAGTTTCAAATGCCTCAGTAGGAACACCATCACTGACTCACTGGGGGATGCAGGTTCATCCGGATGGCGAGTTTCAAATAGGACGAAATGTACATCATGGATTCCACTGCTAGTCACCACTCATCAATAGGTCAATCATGTTGATTTGTCAATGGGATAATAAGATTGCGCAGTTAGGCATAATAATAAACCTATTAATAACAAAGATGAAAAGCAAAGCAATTTGTGATAAAAATGATGGTGAAAAACGTCATGGCTAGACAAACAAATGTTCACATGGACGTATTATATAACGGCTAAGAAACACAAACAGTTGGATTAGGTAGAGCTGGAGAGGGAATAAAGATATATATATGTGCAAATGACCGTGACGTTTCATTATCCCACATGATCTCCTCCATGTCTTCCATTGAGGTCCTACTCAAGGGCTTAAAGTACGAGGTCACTCAGCAGTCCAATCCACCTCTATTTCTTTAAACTTATTTATTAAGCGACTGGTTGCTGTTTGTTTCATTCTTAGATTTCTTTATTGCTAATTCTTTTCTCACAATTCATCTGATCTTCAATATCGAGACAGCGAAAGCAGATGATGACAGAAGTCTTTAGTAGACTATTGGAAATGCTTTATGTAGCATACCTGTCAAGTCTCTGAACCATATCGAACCAATGACTTACTTGACATTACTGTTAAAAATCAAAATCTCATTCCTAATGCTGAATACAGTAGACTGTCGGCCTAATTTCAGATCAATGAGGATTCATCTTGCTTCTCCGATCCTTGCTGGATTTGATATCCTCATCCCTATCACCTGCAGTTGAAACGATGAGCACATTCCTTAGAGTCTCCGTACAAAAGGAAGAAAAGTGTTATCCAATGCAATCGCCAGACATTTAATTGACACAGGACACACAGTAGAAATTAGCCAAGCCTTCAAAATAATCAATACACAAAGAAACCCATGGCTACTTCGCTTCGCAGAAGCCATTGCTATCAAGAGATTTCGACCAGACCTCTGTATACAGAAAGATAGTGTGATTAATCTTTCACTACCTTGGTAACCCTAACTCTATTTCATCTTATATTTTGTTTTGCCTTTCTGTCAGTGTGCCTGTGTGTTTGTCTTGTTACGTAATATTCTATTCAATTTTGACCTTCAAGTTTCTAAATCTACTTAATTGTTTGTCTGTTTAAGTTAAAAATGTTACTTCACTATTCACCCCCACCCTCTTAAACTCTCCACCACAAGATGTGTAAATTCACTCTGTTCTCTGACCCTGACCCTGTAATATGACTCTAACCAATCTGTGTTGTTTTCCAATAGAAATCTGAACTCTTACGCCTCTTATCTAATTCCACTATATATAATTAGTTGTTTTTGACACCGAATAATCTGTCTACCTACATCAAATTCTGGAATTATGTTCCTTATGCCTTCTATCTATAACTCAAAGTAATTATGAAAAAGTATGTTCCACAACTTTCTTGAAACCTATAATTTGATTTTGTTTAGGATGTATGCAGTTGATGAGAATCCACGAAATAAAACGAGCTCATATTATCCTGCAAACATGTTCGTTCTTTCTCTCTTCAAACTAATAAAGGGAACCGGTTGCATGAAACGATGCTGCCTAGATAAGCGAAAGAAGTGACTTCCTTCAAATTTCTCTGGTGTATAGTCAATAGGTTTTGCAATTGCTGGTTGGGCATATTCATCAACTATCTCTTCTCTGTGCTCACTTGAAGCCATGTCTTCTTTGACTGCCTCTCCAGCAGGTTTTCGACTTTGCGTGAATTTAGGCGTAAGTCATTCACGAATTCCAAATCTCCTAAAGTCTTTTTTACTGTCCCATTTATTCCTGCCCTGTCGCTCACCACGGTAGGCAGAATGACCCACTTTCCCAGAATCGGAAATTTTATTGATGATATAAGAAAGCCTTGTATTACTGTTACCTTTACAGTAAACGCTTCCCTGAGTTCAGCACTGTGAATCTCTAGTGATATAAAGCTATTGAATGAGGTTGATAAAGGTTTGCGGAATCGTCGATTGGTTGAGCTTTAATTAACTAAGAGAGGGATAATGGCTATATAAACTTCTGCTGAATATATGTATAGATTAGTCTTATAGTTTGAGGGCCAACCGCCACAGCTCTTTCCTGCAGACAGACACAGAGTCCATTGGAAATATTTTGTCAGATACGATGAGTCACTTTGAATGCGTTCGTTTTTTCCTGCTAAATGACCACTATCAACTAAATGTGACAAAATGGAGCTACGAATGATTTTTGTCTGTCCTTTGCTTAACTACAATGATAGATGTTCAGTAACACGCTAGCTAAGCTGTCCAGTAGTACATTCAACATAACTATTTCCACAGGAAGAGTTAAACCGATAAATGCACATTGATTTGGCAAAGCTATCTATCTAGCTTATCCTTCGTTCGAGTCCCAATCATTTTTGGACTGGAAAATGACGAACACAAGTCTGCAGCGTAAAATGTTCTCCGTATATTTCCAGTTAGTCTCTGGAACAAAATATCACTTGTAAGGTTATGTATATCGAAGTAAAATTTGATGTGATCTAATGAGAGACAATAAAGACCATTAGCAATGAAATGACTTAATTTTTAAATATTCTAGTTGTTATACCATTTCCATATTAGTAAATTTTTAGGCAGTAATGTTTAGTTTACGGATATTTCATGCATGAGACAGGAAATTGTATGAAGTCACTATGCAATATATTTTTCAAAGCCATATACTGGAATTTTTGGTTAACGAATGAATTTATCACAACATCCGAAGTGAAGCTACTTGTTTTCCGCCCGATTGTCATTTATGGTATCGTGAAAATGTCAGACTTTTGAAATCCGTCTTATCCAATGTCTAAGACTTGAAATTAAATTGTTCTGTATTATAGGGTGGACATATTTTTGGATCTCTCGCAAGCAGCATTATGTTTTTTGGGAAATGTTTTCTATAAATTTGATGTTAGATGACTGGAGAGGTCTCACACTTGTTGGTACTTCTTAGTAAGATGTATCTGCGACCTTATAGAACTGACATATACCCCTTCCGATATTCCACTACTCGCCACCTGATTCTGCAGTCAGAGACATTACCAATGAAATATTCAAGCTCTGAGGAGAAATTATTCTCCTGGAGGTCGCGGATATGGCTTTTTGATGGGTACTCGTAAAAACACGAAACCTTAATCTATCGCTTCAGACTAGAATGCCCACAACCACTTAACATCGGTTCAAATTACAGTTTCATAGAAAGTTATCCAAAAGTTTTGACCAGAGTACAAACTTGACTGGCAGAAGTAAGCCAGAGGCAATACTCAGGAGTAAACATGTCACACTGATTAATCCTGTCAAATTGACCAAGAGGACAATTAGTCACCAATGACAGCGACGGTGATTAAGTTATATATATATATATATATATATATATATATATATATATATTGGGAAATGGCAGATTTCGGAATTCATGGGGCATTGGATAGGGTTCCAGTAGCTGAGTGGTTTACGAGATTGCCTTTTAGCCAGAAGGCCCTGGGTTTCAACCCATGGAGGTGCGTACCATTGAAGAGTCCCGCACCAGGATGAAACAACTGACTAGTACTCCATAGTTCCCTAATGGTTTTTGAATTGATGTCACCTCGTCATCAAACCTGTAACTAATCAAATCCATGCAAACCAATACTCGATTATTATTATTATTATTCCTGTAACTTTTCTATAAATCTTTGGACTTGTTCATATACAGTATCGTGCTTATTTATGTATCACGGCCTAATTCTATTTGTTTGTCTCATTGTAGAAGAAAAATATCCCCCTGTATATTTCTCATGGAAATTAACGATGATGATGATGATAAAGCGAGTTCAGTTGCCAATGGAACCACACCATTAATTTCATTAAATCGTCCTCTGTTAACCAAAGAAAAATTCAATCAATATGCTGATTATAATGTGCACTCTTCATCGTTACCTATTTGGCGACGAACCCTGTTGATAATCATATCATGCATTCGTTCATTGATTCCACTGACAACACTTAATACAAATGAATACAATACCAGTGAAAATTTAACCAGAGACAAATTGATCAGTCAGAATAGAGATGAGAAGCATTCAAATTGTGATAAATGTCGACATATTATGCATCATTTTGGAAGATACATGTTCAGCATATTTCCATTTCTTCGAACCTTATATACTTACAAAGTGAAAAGTTGTCTTTTCAGTGATATAATAGCTGGCTTTACTGTTGGCATAATGCATGTTCCACAGGGTAAGAGGTTTTAAATTCATTTTCATGATAGACAACTGTTAAACTGTACCTTGCCTTTTCATGTGATGACACATGAATATTGTATTGTTTCTTTTAGTTCCGAGAGGAAAATAGGGTTTCAGCCGGATGCCTCCATTGCGTTTGGTAATCTGCCAGCGTTTTCAGCTGGCTCCACGTCTTTCCAAATGCTTTCATCTCCTCTTCACATGACCGCCTCCTTGTCACCCTCGCGATGACGACCAACTCGTCCCTTCCCATTTGGGGTCCACTCGAGCGATTGCCTGGTTTGTGATGTCACTTGGTGGTGTTCTCAGAGTATGGCCAATCCACCTCTATTTCTTCCTGCTCATTTGTTGCACAATTGGTTCCTGCTGGTTCCTGGTTCGCTCCCAGAGATCCCTTCCTGTTGCTGACCTTTTCCCACCATTTGATCTTGAGTATTAGGTGAAGACAGTTGTTGATGAGAGTCTGTAGTTTGTTGGATTGCCCTTTGTGGAGCGGCGCCACTTCTCTGATCTGTATGGTAGCACTGACTTCACACTATAGTTGAGAATCCGGATCTTATATTCCATGCTGAGTGCTGTTGGCCTCCATACAGACTTGGGAGTAATGAAAGCTTGCCTTGCATTCCTGATCCTTGCTTTGATATCCTCGTCAGTCCCACCTGATGTTGAAACGATGCTTTCCAGTTAGGTAGGTAGGTGAAGGAGGTTGCTTCTTTCAGATTTTTTCCATTTATGCTGATTGTTGTCTGTTGTTTGTGGCGTTGCTGTTGGCCAGAAATCTTCATCACCTCTGTTTTCTCTATGTTCACCTGAAGGTATATCTTCTCTGGATGATTGTTTTGCCAATTTTTTGTTTTTCACTTGCATATCTTCCAGTTTGTGTGAAATCAGACAAATATCATCGGCGAAGTCCAGATCCTCCAAGTTTTTTTTGTGTAGGTCTATTTTATGCCTGTTTCCTCGTTGCCCACCGTTGTCTGTCGCATTATCCAGTCTACCGCGATCAGGAAAATCATTGGAGATAGTAGGCAGTCAGCCAGCTTGTCCTACTCCCATCTCTACTTCTTCGAAGGATTCCATGAGTTTCCCGTTGTCGATTTCTTGGCATGCAGCATTATCGTAAAATTGTTGGATGAAATTGAAGCCGAAGTCAAACTGATAATCTAGATCACGGTAGATTTACACCAGTGATCTTAGGAAAACCGATGAGTTCTGTAACGAACAAACGGCGAGACTTAGCTTTGAATTTAAACAGGCATTCACTGCTTTAATCACTGGTTATACATAAGTGTCGGGTCAATAAATGACTCCTAACTGTCCGTTCAACATCACACTATACCACTCAATGACATATGGTGAATTTCCAAGTAGATTTTACCAGGAAACAACATGAGTTAGAGACCACTGAAAATCAGGAACAGGTGTTTTGCCCTATTCGGCGGTACGCATCGATGACCTCACCAAGAATTGAACCCGGGACATTTGAGTTACGAGACTAGGCTTGTTGATCATTCAGCCACTTGGACTAGAGTTCAGTGATCAGTTCAGCCCTAACTTCTGTCATTTTGCGACATAGCACTAAACTCAACCAGTGCCTTTTCTGAATTTCCACCTCAACTTAACACGGGAGACCCAACTGGTCACGAGTTCCCTCAAGAGCTTCAGGAAATCTACCCGGTGGGCATCAGTAAGCTAGACGGGGATATTTAGATTATGGTTTTTGATGTAGTTGTGTTCTCTGAGCTGGATAGTTTATTCGCGAAGCTTTCATTGCCCTACTAGGAAACATCTTCAGTGCATAATTCAATTTAAAATATGAGCTGAAGATGTGTCCTAGTAGGGGAATGAAAGCTTCGCAAATAAACTATCCAGCTCAGAGAACACAACTAAATAAAAATCATCCACCTGAGCTATAAATCTTCTCCATCATTTCTAGATTATGGGTTGTTTTAAGGGAATTCGATTAATTTCAGTGTCGATTTCGCCATTTGTATTGTATTCACTTATGTGTTGAATTTAAAGGATATGAACTGCTATGCAACCAAATTATGTTCATCTTTTCGAGGCTGAATTTAATCTTGTCATCTAAACAGGTTTTTATTTTTGGATTTAGGAAAACGTTATGGAGTAAACTATTTTTATTTTTTTTTTACTATAACTTGACTCCACACAGTATTTCTGATACAAGTATGAAATTTTCAGCATGTGATATCGGTAGCCCAAATTTTGTAGGCCGACCATTAACATCGGGTGTGCGTCGGCTGAGGATCGAATCCCGGACCATATGCATAGTCAGTGAGCGTCCTAATCGCTGTGTCACCGACGCACACAACTATACAGAAACTAAGGGAAAAGTTGGTGGTTTGAAATCTACATCTATAAATGAAAAATCTCATGCATTTAGATTTGATTAGCTGCGTCTTTTCATGAGCCAACTTAGTGAGACACCAACAGTGGTTCACAGCATTGATTTTTCAAACTTATCATTAGCTAGCCAAGACAAGATAGAAAGATGACACTATACTAATTTCTTCACAAAGCTGAAAGATGATTACTGTGAATCTTCACTACTACGGATTTTTATTCAGAAAAATACTGATAAGGCACATCTCTGAAATGCCTAAAACTATATACTTCTAACTGAGGGAAATGCGTAGTTGTATAGCACTCACATCAACCACTAGTGTTTACTAGCCATATGGAAGTGATCTAAAAACCGGACTGTCGTTTGGTTCACTTGGAGGTGAGCTCATCAGCGGTGCACTCGGTTTGATGAGGTGGAATTTCACTGCACTTTCCTTTGGAAACCAAAATTGTTCAGATCACAACACGTAATCTGCCTGATAACATAAACGGTAATCAAGAAAGGAAAGTGTAAATGAATGAAACAATATACTACTGATTGAGTGAGATGAGTAGTTGCTTACCACTCACATCTATAAAATGTCTTTCAAGGTAGACTGCAGATGAATATCAGTTACAGAACCATTGAAAACCATAGAGTACTGGACAGCTTCTTCTTCATAGTTCGGAATTCATTGGCAGTACTCACCCACCAACAGGGTTCGAACCGAGGACCTCCCAGTTACCAGCAAGCAAGGTCTTAGACCATTCAGCCACTAAGATCCGATTCAACGGCCAGTACATGAATTCTAACTCCTACCAATTCGTGAATTTTAGCATGACCACCAACCAATGTCATCGGTGGGAACTCCATCCTCATTCCCGACTGGATGAACCTCACTGGTCATGACTTCTCACAGGAAACTCCGTCCTGTAACCAGTCACTAGTGAGCATTAGATTAATTTTCAAGAGTTGATTTGTATGGACTTGATTTATTTTTCGAGTTAGACGACGGATTGATATCAGTTAAAGAAGCAATGAAAACCAGGGAGTACTGGATAACTGTTTCATCCCAGTTGGTGCTTACTGCCGATAGGCCCCAAACTAGGACGAAATAGATGTCCAGTACTCCCTGGTTTTCATTGCTTCTTTAACTGATATCAATCCGTCGTCTAACTCGAAAAATAAATCAAATCCTAACAAATCAACTTTTGAAAACATAAAATGTTTATTAAATATACGAAACAGTTGTCAAGTAATGTGCACTGTCAGTTGATAACAGAACTGATAGATTATTTACAAGCCACCCAAAAACGAGCAAAAATTACCTCGGAAACGTATTTCTCCAACATTAGAGTTCTTGTATTTTTTCTCTTCAGTAAGCCAATAAAAGAAGTGCTGTGTATAATGGTTGATGCACCAAAAGTGTGTTGACTTTCCATTGAAAAGATTAAACATATTTATGCAAGTCAGGTAAAAATTAACGTGTTTCTTAACTTCTGAATGAACAAAACACCATAAGGCATTACAAAATCCCATCGCTGCAAGCTTCGGTTTCCATTAAAATGTATTAACTAGATAGTCTGCGTCGGTGGCATAGCGGTACAATGCTCGCTAACCACGCCTCACGTGGTCCCGAGTTCGATACCCGGCCACCGACACACTAATTTACCTCTTTAAGCCATTAATAAGACTTGTAAAGAGGGAAGGTTGGTTATGAGGTTTGCAACTGCATCCCTTTAAAGTAAGCACGACTGCCACCGAAACTTCGAGGTTCGAGCTTGAAGCCCTATATTCTTCTGGGAATGTAAAGAAATCAAAAATTAAATAATCTATTTCGGATTTTTTTAGTTTTGTTGTATATACATTTATCAGCATGTTGCAGTGGGAAAACGTTCGCATTATGATTTCTTTTTCAGTATATAGTTACAATGCTTAATCTATTTCAGGTATGGCCTATGCACTAGTCGCTACACTACCACCTGTATACGGATTGTACACATCCTTTTTCCCAGCATTGGTCTATTTCTTTCTTGGGACATCAAGGCACATTTCAGTAGGTAAGTTGGAGTGATTTCCATAAAAGTAAATGAGGTGTTATTATAAGACATTCGATTTTTTTATCTGTAGAATTCACATTATTGTAAATCACTAGTAATCAGTGACATGTTACAGTATGATAACAACTACAGTTAATAAAGACGGTTCACGAAAGTTAAAATAATAATAAAATAAAGCATAAGCAATACGTGTTATTTAAGCAAGACCTAATGAATTCATCAGTTTTCAGTAACACTCTTCAACTGAACACTCTACAGACAGTGATATATATATTTAAACCATCAGAAATATACTGGGAGAAAAGTGACCTATAGAACACCAGGAAAATGATACTGCTACGTTCCTTGAAGTTTCTCTGGTGGGTGGAGTTGATGACACAATAGGATGGGGTAGTGCATACATTTTTACAGCTTTGTTCGCATTCAGTAAAAAAAAGACAATGAGAAAAAAAAACTGAGCAAAGAATATCCTTTTCGATAAATTCCTCCTCTGGCTCTACAATTATATACATATATATGTGTTTATATACATAGAATATTCTAGAATAGTCGTCAATAACAATATTAGTGTCTTTTAAATAATATTGATTTGTTAAGTGAGATCAACGGAATTACAGTTCACTAAAGATGCATAAATTACAATAAGTACAAAAATGTAATAGCAAATAGAATATAAAATAAAATTAACGAAATTTCTACAACAAATTGAGGATTATTAGAACGTTGATTGACAGCCAGGGTGAGGACAGTGTCTGAACCAACTTCTTTAGAATACATAAGTTAGGTTTCTTAATTCGGGTCCCAACAGTCTCTACAATATGTAGTAGAAAAACTCTTAAGGTAAAGTTAAGATTGGTTAGCATGCAGAAGATGACTTTGAAAGCCTCGTTACCATCAGTCTTGTGTTCTGCATCCACAAGATGAGATAGAATAGAGCTATGAATAGATTTTGTTTGTCCTTTACTTAACCACTTAGTTCGATGTTGGAAAATCCGACGAGAAACACGCCTAATTGTACAGTGTATGTAAATGGTTCCACAGGAGCAGTCAAACTGGTAGATACACATAGAAGAGACGAAATTAGGCAGTTTACTTTTAACTCCCGAAAGCAAAATTGGCATGGTTTTGAAGACACATCATAATTCAGCAGCACTGAATGTTCTTTTTACCGCATTCCTAAGGCGTTGTGTTAATATCACACTGATATTATCCCTAAGGAACTGAAGTTTTAACATCAAGGACTTTTTCGGAACTGCTTGTAATTTGGCCTGTCTTAACTTTTAGCTGGTATTCTCATCGATGAATTTTTCTGGATAACCGTTCTCACTCAGCAAATGTTTAATAATATTAAGCTCTTCACTAAGGCATTCATCACAGCAGATTGCTCTTGCTCTGTGGATCAAGTACTTTATTAGACTGCGTGTGTAAAAAGATTACAGAAATGGGTATCCTGACCGGGTGATTTCGATTTCTATATAGACTTCTTCTTATTGTGCCATCCTCTTTTCTGGTCACAAGGACGTCTAGAAATGAAATACTAGAGTCTCTTTCTTACTCGATGGTAAAATTTATTGCAGGATAAATATCGTTAAATTTTTCTAGTATGTTCTCTGCTTCATCCTCATCTTTCATAATCAAAAATCTATCACCCATCTACCGACAATAGAATTCAGGAAATTGTCGGATAGAATGGGTCCTAGCGGTGACCCCATTACCATACTAGTGATTGTTCGATAAAGCGGGAATATTTTGTCCTGATAGTGAATGGAATAAAGACCTTGAAGGATATTTTATCTAAGAATGAATATTGTGAGAGGTTGATCAATAAATAACCTAATGAAAATAGCCCCAGTAAAACTATCCGAACAGTTTCACAAAAAGTTGTATATATTGGTTTGCCACTTAAAAAAGATGACATTTAAGAAGTAGTTAGACGAAGACTTAATAATGTTATCAAGAGAACTTATTATGCTTCAAAACTAGCATTCCTTAACACCACCAAGTGGATGCACTGGTCACCGATTATTGACACTTCAAACTGCATAAATAAGTTTAAGTGTGTTTGTGGAAGCAAATACTTAGGTCGTAAAGAAAGGAGATTGTCTACCTGCATGAGGGGAATGTGTCGTTAAGTAGTTCGGAATCTAATGATGTCAGGGTACCAAAAAATTCAGCAACAAAGCATTAATAAACAAACGGCATGATATGGATGCTATCAAGTCATTCATTGCTATCAGCAGACGAACAGATAGAAAGATGCTTTCATTTGAGGAGACTTTTGCAAGTAGAGTTTATAAACTCGGTCTTTCTGTACAGATGAAAATGCTGACCACTCTGAATCTATCATGGTAATGTCTTTTACTTATTAATGGTTATTATTATTGATATTTATTTTATCTCTTCAAGTATTGGCTTGTAGGGATTTGGTTGATTGGTTACAGGATTTCATCATGAGAACCATTGGAAAACCTGGGACAGCCCCAAACTAGGACGAAACAGCTGTCCAGTACTCCCAGGTTTACCAATGGTTCTCTAACCGATGTCACCTCATGATGAAATCCTGTAACCTATTTTATCTCTTAGTATTATTCTAAACTCTCTTAAGACAATCTTTCATTGTTTATTTAAGTGATGTAATTAGGACTGTAATCCATTGTAATTTTCATTTTAATCTCTCATACGTCTGCTAAACTGTCTAGTCTTGAGATGCAAAATATTCCTATATATGTCCAAACCAAGTTCACTTTTAACAGTTTGAAAAAATTTGGGCATTGGGTATATGATATTCATTATAATGAATGAAAAACAAAACGATATTGTTTTTACTGACGTTTCGCTACTTAATGCTGCTAATAGCTTTATCAAAGTATTATTAAACCGAAATTTACAAAATCTCAGCATATTTATAACAAAGCGTTAAGGGGTGAGAAAATAGACAGGTTAAGTTGAAAGGACATACTGACATTAACTCATTATTTACTACTTTCCCTATTACCGAAAGTCTTGATATCATTTCCAGTCTACTAGAATCAGATACAGCGCTATCACAAAGATGTCCACTGGACACCAGTGAAATAATTAAAAGCTTGAAATTCTGTCTAGGAAGTATTTATTTTACATTTAAAGGTAGCTTATATAGACAGACAAATGGTGTTGCTATGGGTTCACCAGTCTCCCCAATAGTCGCCGACCTTTTCATGAATTAATTCGAAAATAACATCTTTTCAAGCATTCTCACTCCTAAAATATGATTAAGATATGTAGATGATACTTTTGTAGTGCTAAAACGAGATCTACACAGTTCAGTCCTGGAGAAAATAAACTGTGTATCTACCAGAATCCAGTTAACATCGGCAGCAGAATCAGACGTCGGTGAACTACCTTTTCTAGACTGCCTAGTTAAGAGGAAGGAAACCCACTTCAATAAATATTTAAACTTCACATCAACACAACCCATCAGCGCAAAGATTTCAGTTGTTTCAAGTCTTCCTAGACGAGAACACTCTCTAATAACGGATGAGAAAGAAAAGAAAAAGAAATATCAAACATTACTGAAACTCTCAAGCAAAACAACTACCCAAGGGACTTCATCAACAAAATCAACACAGACATTAAGTATGGCTGAAAACGCATTCCGAAAACATGGACCTCAACAGTCGTCATTCCATATAGAGCAGAGACGTCAGATGATATCAGAAGAGTACTCAATCAGCTCGACATAAGAGTTTTCTTCAAAACATCAGACACACTACGAAACAACCTTGTCCATATAAAAGACCAAATCCCTAAAGATTCTCTATCTAATTGTGTCTATAAAATAGAATGCTTGGAATATGATGCGATATACACCGAACAAACATCTCGAGAAATCAAAACCAGAAGAAATGAACACCGTAAAGCATCTGTTCGATCACCGAGAAATCCGGGTGAACTAGAAAAACTTGAAAAATCATCAGCCAGGCATAGGTCTGCACTCTACAGAATCAGGTCACAAAATTGATTTTGACAATATTGAAATAATCCAGAAAAAGTGTTTCAGAAATCCCAAAGAAGCACTTCATATCAAATGGAATCCAAATTGTCTGAATAGGAATGAAAGACTAAAACAGAATCTGACCTGGTTACAACACCTCTCTCCCCCATGAAGTGACCGAATCAACACGAATGTGATAAGCAATATCATTATATAAACACACACTGCTTTTTATAATTTTACACACTGATCAAATCCAGCAATCTACACTTGGTTTTGTTGCCTTTACCGATTGACCAACTTGACAACGAAAAATGACCCCAGACTGACGAACAATGATCAAGTTAGTAAACTTTATTTTGATATCATAACAGATGTCCTATTACCTCTGTTATTTGGTTTAGTGATCTTCATTGTTATTTTGACTTTCAATATGTCCTTTTAACTTGACCTAACTTGTCTGTTTTCTCACCCCTTAACTCTTTGTTATACATATGCTGAGATTTTGTAAATCCCGGTTTAATAATACTTTGATAAAGCAATTAGCATCAAATAGCGAAACGTCAGTAAAAACAATATTTTTTTGTTTTTCATTCATTGGGAAATACGAAAACCTTTATTATAATAAAATATTCCTACCTGTAATCTTTTCCTATTGACTCACTGTAGTTTGTTACCTTAACGGCCACACATCTCCCAATGTATTTCTGATAGTGTATGTATCACTGTATGTAGAATATTCATCTAAAGAGCTCTATAGAAATTTGATGAATTCATTGAATCCTGTTTTAATAACATTTTTGGGCTTATTTTAAATTCGAATCGCTAGATAAATGTTTCCATTAGGCAACATCACTGTTGTTTGAAGCGTTGAACTAAATAAAACATTTAAAAGATGTATACTGACTGCAATGGCCTGCTTAAATCAGTAGACTACTGAAATTGCTTTCCACCAAAACCCAATATCATCTGGATTTATCATTGTCTTAATCCCACAGTTATATCAAATGACCTATACATGAACTTGCGTTCTGATTTAACTTGTTCCCAAGTAAACGCTTAGCAATTCTTCAACGAAATGAAGATATACTTCAGATTATTACTGTACATATTCATCATGTATGAGGAAAAAAGCATTTAGGAACTGAATACGTTGAAAATGTGTGCACCAAATGCTCCACATTGTCTGAAACAAAGATTTATTATTATATTATTATTATTAAAATTAGTCTAAATTTAGAGATTGACTTTCAGTGATGGGGAACAATTACACTGTGTCCTAAAAATTAACGATTTTGAGGTCAGTATGAGTATTGCAAAATACTACCTTTCAGCAAGCAGATATATTTACTCAAAAACACTAACAGTTTTCAGATCAATGTATTTCCTTAAAATAACAAAACTAACGAAAATTGTTGTGTGATGCTTACCATCCGACTGATTTCATTGGAATTGATCTTTTAAGCAACTAAGAGCTAATTTGATTGATTTTATACCTGAATCACTTGAATGATAGTCAAATTAATAACTGTGACTAAGGCAATTCAACTGAACTAATAATCATAACCATTTACATTACATTGCTATTATTCCTTCAGGCTGTGAGTGAAACATAATATTTCAACAACAGATTTGCATTTCATCCTGTTCTCTTCAGTTCTGGTACCATGATTCCCCCCAAGCTTTCGTTACCTGCACACACAATCTCTAACTTATCTTTTGCCATTCAGGTGCTATTCGAATGTCTGGCGAGCAGTATGCAACCAACGGTCATCTCAGCGTTTGTCCAATCCATCTCCACTTTCTTCTACATATTTTGTTGGGAGATAGGTTCTCGGTTGGATGATTGCTAGAATTCCTCACTACTAATCTTTTCTCGCTGTTTGAAAGGATTATATATATATCTTGGTACAAAAAAACGAAGTTGAAAAACCTCAAGTATTTATTTAATGAACAAAATATGTAAACTATAAGTAGTTTTTATAGCATGATAAATGTGTATCCCCTTACACTATTGAAGTTATTTCGTATTAGTAGTGACATCCCGTTTTAAGTATTGGTTTTTTTGGTAAGGATTATTTAATTGGCTGGAGGATTTCATCATGAGCTGACATCAGTTAGAGAACCATTGAAAAACTGGCTGGGAGTACTGGACAGCTGTTTCGTCACCTTAGTTTGGGACTCTTCACAGCACGCATCCACCACAGGGTTTCGAACCTAGGAACTTCTAGTTACAAGGCTAGCGAGCTCGTACACCATTAAGCCAGTGCAACCTGATCCAATGGCCAGCCCGTGAATTCTAATTTCTGCCAATTCATGACATCGCACCACCACTTCGCAATGTCTTCTTCGATGAGAAAGTGTCCTCACTTTCAACCTGCCCTACCCTAGTGGTCATGGGTTCCCACTAGAACCCCAGATCACTACCCGAATAGGACTTGTTGCTAGTTAGCATTAGATGAATTTTAAAGTACTAGTGTTTTTTTTGTAGGGATTGGTTGGAGGATTTTATCATGAGCTGATATAGGTTAGAGAACCATTGGAAAACCTTCAAAGAAGACAGTGCGAAGAAGTCGCGCTATGTCATGAATTAGCATAAGTTAGAATTCATGAACTGGTCACTGGATCGGGTCTCAGTGGCTTCATGGTCCATGAACTCACCTTGTAACCAGAAGTTCCTGGGTTCAAAACCCTGTGGTAAGTGGGTACTGTGAAGAGTCGCAAACTAGGACAAAACGTCTGTCTAGTACTCCCAGCAGGTTTTCCAGTGGTTATCTAACTGATGGCAGCTCATGATGAAATCCTCTAACATCCCGTTGTACGCGCATACTTATTTAATCAACTGTTCGTTATTTTTCCAGGTACGATGGCGGTTGTCAGTTTGTTGACAGGTGATTTCCTCGACCGAGTGATTCTAGAAGCACATTTCGATGAAAGTAAGTGAAGTCATCTTAAACAAGTTTATGCATGATCCTGTTTTTTTCTTAGTAGGAGCTAACCTTCAAATGTCACTGAATTCCACACAAGCCTTGTAAACTAAATGTGTCACGTAAAGAAAACAATTTTATGATGAACTCACTTCATAGAATATTTATTTTCGCCATCACACTGGGCATTTAGTAATCCGGATCTTTTAAATATTAGCCTTTTATGCAATATAAAAGGATTTTAAAGGGATTTTGGCCAGGAAATACTGAGAACAAATCCCCATTTAGACATTTAGGAAGTAAAAGGATTGACCTCACTTTTTTCTGGTATCCACATTCGTGTATCCGACTACTTGAGAATTCTGCTTCAGGATTTGTACTTCATTGGCTAGAAGTGGGTTACAATTAACGTATATTTTGATGCTTAATAACCTCTGAAATTCACCATTTTCAACAACATTCTGTGAGATCAGCATCATTTATGATTTAAAATTAAGGTAGAAAAACTTCATCTTAAATGAGATGAGTTTAAAAATTCATGACATGCTTCGAAGCAATCCAGAGGCAGCAGCTTTACAACTACAGGCCTTCCACGCCAGTCGGGACAGGAAGAGCATGACAGACCTTCAATAATCTGAAACCAGTGTAAAAGAACTACTGCATCCAGTCGGTGGTTCAGAGACTTGGCAAATAGATCACTGCAGACTTTCATCTACAGCTTCTTTCACTGCCCTGGCATTCAGGTAAGCAACATGAAAATCTAGCGGTGCAACAAAACCAACCAAGAATTCATTTCCAAACAAATGTGACAAACGGAATTGAGATGGACTGGTCATTCGTCAAGAAGACTGCTGGGTAACTTGCTGCTGAAGCCCTATATCCCACTAGGAATCTAACAGGAACAATAAAAATAACATTATCGGATGTTTATATTTTGAAACATTTTTAGACGGAGACATCGATTCTTTCAAGGTTGCGAATATGCCTATCTGATGAGTGCCAACAGGCGCGAGACCTAGGTTCAGGGGTTACCGCTAATTGCCTTCAACCACCTATTATTATTCCATTGAGTTTCATCACCACGTCTCCAGTGCATCCTCTTCTCTTCACTCCTCTTTCCCTGGCTCAGCGATTGCACAGAAGCTCTCATCTCCACCTCGCAAGACCTCCACTATATCACCTGCGGACGCCCGACTCGTCGTTTCCCGTTTGTGTCCAATGCTTAATGTCACTCAACAGTCTTCCCAGAGTGTGGCCGATCCGTCTCCATTTCCCTCTACATGTTTGTCGGGCAACGCGTTATTGGTCGGTTTGTTGCAGAGGTTTCTTGTTGCTCATCCTTTCTGGCCATGTGGTGTCAGTATCAAGGCACAGAAGGTAACTGTTGATGAAAATATGCAGTCAGTTGGAAATGCTTTTGGTGACACTACATCAACGTATAATTCCTTCTGAATGTGAAGTCAACTGCTTTTATTTGCTCTGATATGTTTTTTACTCCATGCACTAATAGATAGTAGGTATTCAATAGTGTACATTATAGACAGTTAAATCTAGTTTAACAATCTGATTAGGACAAATAAAAATTCGCGATCACCTCAAAGTTTAAGTAGGACTAAGTGAACGTACTTGTACAGTCAGATAAGAATAGTCTTTCTATTAGAGATATACCTAGGTGGTTCTCCAACTATGTAACGTTCTAAAATGCATACTTATGCATTTAAATTAATCATTGAAATTTCATATATCCTATAATGTTACTTTTGTTTATTGATCGGTGAGTGTATATCACAAGTCTGAAATGCATGACTATTTGTAAATACTTAAAACTCTCTTGAAAAGGGGTTTTTAACTCAAAATTAAAAAGTACACTTTTCATTTAATTACGGTTTCATTATTTCATGGAAAAACAAGTTCTTCATAGAAATATAGACTGCAAACATAGCACTTTTTGTATGTAATGACTGATAGTACAGCCTGAAATTAACCTTGCTGTAACGAATGTTTTAAGTTTCGTAAATACATCTGTCACCCAGAACCTTCTCTCATTTTTTTTTCGTTTTTAAATCTAATAAACGCACACGGAGACAGGAAAAATACTGTTTCAGTGTTAAGCGTTCGAAATCGGTCGATAGGAGGCCATGGGATTAGGATTTTGTGTGATTGTTGACACCCATCAGCGAGGCGCATTTGCCGCATCAAAGGAACTGGAGTCCGCTTCAGCGATTGGCATCTGTATCATCTAGTCCTGTAGGCAAAATGGTTTCTGCTTACTCACTTGGCCCCAGAGGTTTTATTAGGTGTGATTTATAATTTTATTAGTTTGGAATTTTTAAGTGAATGAGAAGTTGGTGGTAAATTTTGAAAAATTAACGTTTACAAAAACACTAGATAGCGCGGTATCACTTGGGTACTTAAGATTGTAAAGTATTTTTGCGAAAATCCATTAAAAAAATAGCCATTATAGTCTAAGCATTTTTTCTTCAATCCTTTACCTGAGGATACTTGTGCGGAAGAACATTGGGACTAACTCTTTGAAGGCGATGTTCAATGAAATATGTACAACTGTTATAGGAAGAAGGAAGAGATGAGACAAGAAATGGCTCTCAACAAATATATACCTGGAAGCTAATAGAAGAGAGGAGAGGAGAATGGGGAAAGAGATGACAAGATGCGAAGATGAACAACAGAAGGAGAAGCTAGGTTCAAGTACACTGTAATGAATAAAGAAGTGATGAACAGTGCCAGGAAAGACAAAAGACAATTCTACGACACACTGGCCAGCAAATGAGGCAGAATAGACAGGCCACGGGCAGATGACACATCAGGACATTATATCAGATAACCAGGTCTCTATCCGGGAAGAGATCAACCCAGACGATGAAACCAATAAAAGACGTTCGAGGGAACCTGATTACAAAGGGAAGAGAAACAAATAAAACAATGAATGGACTGATCACTTTAAAGAACTCTTGAATCGGCTATCACCTGCAACTCGCCCAGACATACCACCAACAAATATGTAGGGGCAAATAGAGATGGACCGGGCATACATGGATGAGGCCATCGGATGATATTGCGCACTAGGCCCTCAAGTGGAATCCAAATGGGGAGCGGCAAGCGGGCCGTCCTAGGGTGACATGAAAGAAACCATGTAGGGAAGAGATAAGAGAGCTTGTGCAATCATGGACCCAGGTGAAGAGGATGGCAGAAAATGGAACAAAGTGAAGATACGTTGTTGAATCCCTGTTTTCCACTTGGAACCCAAGGGAACAATAAGATAATAATAATTACCTGGCGATCGGGACTTCAGAGGGTTTCGAGCTTGAGCTTTGAAGTTTCAGTAGTAGTGGTGTTTGTTTCATGTGATGAGGTTGCTAGACTCACATAAAGCAATTCCTCTTCACCAGGCCTACTACAGGCTAGGCAAGGTGTAGGAGTGCATCCGTCAGTTTGGGAGTAAATCTCGACTAATCACTATTAATGACCATGCTGCATACTGTACCACGTAAAGTGAGCGGTTTGTTGGTTGCTGTTTAGATACACTGTTTTACTTGATCTCAACCTTCACATTTGATCCTCTAACCCAACTTAATTATTGTGTCCTCAGGCATTTAGATTAAATCAAACCTAGTATGTCAGTAGAAAGCTTCACTGTTAGTTTATTTAGCTATGGGTAAGGTTTTGTACAGGTAAATCAGATGGTAATTTATTATCCCGTTCAGTGGTAACGATAAATACAACTAGAATTAAAGGATCACATTCATTTCAGTCAACCATACAGTAACATCTTAAGAGGTTTTCAAGTTATTACATAAAAGATTAAAATCACAAACCACAAGTTCCCTACATGACTTTAGCTGACACTGAGAAATGTGGAAGTTGAAACTGATATTTATTGACTAGTTAGTGTCAAGTTTCATGCCTTCCAGTCAAATTTAGCATGTTCTGAGTGGTTTTGTTGGTTTCCATACAATCACTCTGATGATATACAAGAATGATTGTTAGTTGAATATATTAAGATAACTGTGTTGAGTGTCAATTATGCGTTTAAGCAAGAGCAAAAGAACACGATAAATACAAAACACTTTTATTGGTTAGCCACAAGGCAGAATATAACCTCTGCAGAAACATCACTTTCAGGAGGAAAAAGGCGTACCTGATACAAATATCACCTAGGGGATTAAGGCGTCGGTGGCACGGTGGTATAATGCTCGCCAAACACGCATGTGGTTCGGGTTTCTATCCTCGGCCGATGCACTCCTTTACCTCGATAAGACTAGTGAAGAGGGAAGGTTGAACAGCCCTATCCAGTAAAAATAAGCACCACTGCTACCGAAACTTGAAGGCTGTAGCTTGAAGCCCTATGTTCCACTGGGAACGTGAAGGAATTACAAAAAAAGGGATTAAGGGAATTCTGTCAATTAATCTCTTCCAGCGGTTTGTACACAGTGCCGTTTTGAATATCCTTACTGTGGAAAGTGTACATTATCTCAAAGACTTTTATCCTTCTTGCTTTATACAAGCAAAACTGGAGAAAGCGTTAGTATGGGAGAATGAGAGTAGTATGAACGAAGATTACAAGGTGGAGAAACCATTTCGAAACATTACACTAATATCCGCTATATCTCTGTCTCTGTACAAAAATCTTTGTATGGCAATAACACCAATGCTATAGTTAAACAGAACACCATAGAAGCCGTCCCCTATGCGGTTTTTGTTCTGTAACACTTTCTAAGAACTAAGATCCGTTTCATAACTACCCTTAAAATCACGTAATAACCAGAGAAATCACTCTACTAAACACAGAAAGACAACTTGAACATCTTTGTTACAAAAAACCAGCACATGGCATACGAAGACAATGAGCCTAATTACAAGAGGCATTCCATTCTTTTTAGCTAAATAAGTTGATAGAAGCTCTCTAGGTCCAAAGATCAAATATACTCTTTTTAGTACTAGAAAGAGAACCGCAAAGATCAAAGATTTCTGTTCTCTGTTATACTCTGAAGAGTTTTTAATAGTAATTTGACATTTCCTAAATACCTTATTGATTTAGCTTTAAAAGGTATTAAGAGGACAAATGTCACGAGGTGGTATCATTTCATAGCTCTTTTTACAATTTCTTTAAAACTAGCATGGTTGCAAGTAATAACAAAAATGTTTGATAATTAATCATTATTATAAAACAAGAGTACATATTAGTAACTAGTCGGAATTTAGTGGGTCAAGTAGTCCCTGGTAGCCAAAGGTTGAAATCTACTGTGCTCTGTACACACACATAGTTTGTAATGCATGCGATCAATCCAAAGTGATTCCATCGCCTTTAGTAACCTTCAATTATAGCTATGTGAAATAGTTGAGAAACAGTCATTCATATTGATATTGTGACCCTCTACAAAATCGATGATGCTGGATTTCTACTCAGATTCAGTACATTTAGACTTTCTATGTGATCCAATCACTATTTAGAAATATATTCTTTCCTGCAGCATTAGAACATTCGGCAAAGTTCAACAATAGCGCCCCAAGGGATGCGAAAGCACGAGTGACCTTCAACCGACGAATCACAATAATAAGGGACTTTCGCACAATAAATGACGTATATTTACAAGAAAATGCATAAAAGCACATCAAACAGGGTATCTTCCTCTGACATATGACTTAAAAATACGTCCCAGTTATAATGAAAAGTATCAGTTGCTGAGTTAGACTAGTTTCTGTACACATGTATTCACCGAAGTGACTGAAAATGAGCTGTTTTTGTGAATCGTTTATCTCTCTTATCCTGTTATGCAGTCTCCCCCAAAAGCCGTTGGCGCAATTACTATGGTTTCCAGTAAGAGGATCGACGACTACTTACTGGGAAAATGTAGATAATAAAACAAATTAAAATAAATGACATCAACTCTAAATCTATCCCTAATCGTAACCCTAACCCTTAACTTAACACTAAGCCTAACCTTAACCCTAATCCGAATTATAACCCTGATCCTAACCCTAATCCCAATACTTACCTTAACCCTAATCTTACCCTTACGAGCTACTAACACCTTGTCCAAACAGTACTTTAAAACGTGATCCGGGTGAAATTTGCTTCTAATTTGGTGAACAGCGTTGATATTTCAGCAATGATAATGACAGGTGCCGTTAGCCAACGACTAGCGTGCGTTCAAGGTCATTGGAGCGTTCGCACTCCTGGGAAGCTATTGTTGAACTTAGCCTAGCATTCCATTGGTTCTAACTATATGTGTGTATCTCCGAAACTGTAGGTAAACCTGTGGATACAGTGAGAAGTGCATACAGAAATCGGAGATGTTTGAGGTGTAAGGCACTTGAGACGCCGCGTAGAATGCGTTCTTAATAGTTGACCGAAGTCTTTAGTTTGTCAGCTGCATGATTTGACCTCCCTTGAGTGGTATTTTATTGATAGAGATAGCTTACTTTGGTACAGAAGTTTTCTTCTCAAGGGACTATCTCTCTTTATTGTAACATACAATGAAGTTTTCAGGATATCCATTAGCCAACAAAACTGAATGTATGCACCAGAGTTTATCCATAAATATATTGTTTATGCGAGTTTCGAAGACGAGGCTTTCCCTAGGAAACGTTTTTACAAAACTGTTGACATTAGCATACTTTCCATTCTCTGTTTGTGTAATACTGGCCGTACATTCATAGAAGTATCCAAGAAACTCGGCATGTTCTTCAATTTGCATTCTGGAGTCACTCGGATATTTGGATAAATGTCATTAAATGAAGTTGTCAGACACCTGAATATTGTCTCCAATAAGGAGCTTGACATTCACATAACATCTGTAAAGGGTCAAGTTCGCTATTATACTTTCCATATATTTCTCCAACTTCGACATAAATGGATCTGATGAAATGAACTTTTTAAGTATGCCGATGATCTAACTATTTCAAAGTCTGTTAACTCTCAGCTTGACTGCACTAAGATAAACAACTTTCTATCAGGAATTAGCAAATGGTCTTCGTCTAACGGCCTTAAACTTAATCCTTCCAAATGTCAGACTGTTAATTTCAGTTTCCAATGTAAACGAAAGTTAAATGAAGCCGCTGGTTCCTATGACCCTTGCAAAATTGATGATACAGATATAGAAACCAAGTCTGAAGTTAAATATCTTGGATTAATTCTCTCTTCTGACCTATCTTGGTCCTCTCATGTCTTAGCGATTTCTAAAAGAATATTTCATTTGACTTTTTACATTAAGAAGTTAAGGCACCCAGGTATAACTCAACCACTCCTCTTACGGTTTATCAACTCGTGTATTTTACCTATTCTTCTTTACTGTTCACCCTTATTCTTTCCTGGATTGCTTAAAAAAGACTATGTCAGACTTCATAGAACTCTGAAGACCGTCAGTAGAACGAGTGGCATCCCATTGGGCCATATCTTTGGCATTGTCACCAATAGGCATTTGATGTCATACAACAGATTCGATAGAGGAATTTTGTCAGACTCTGAGCACCCACTCTACCCGCAGCTCCAACCTTGTGTCTCCTCAGGTAAAACAAGAAGTCTTTTCAGAAGAATTTATGCACGTACGTCTAAGTATAAAAAATTCCACTATACCACATTTAACACGTACTTTATGTGATGAAAATAGTGTCAGATATGAACTAACTAACCTTCTTAGCACCACTAAATAAACCATTTCCTTCACCCTTAAAGCATCATACTTTATTGTTATTGTATTTCTTACATTTACAATCCTCTCAATTTTTTCGTTTTGTTTATTTTTTTTCATAAGTATGGAAATAATTTTAAGCTGTATTATGACTGTTAATTTTGTATTTCCCCTCACTATACTTTATCAACAGAACATTAGATCCAATAATCTATAATATGCTAAAGTTTCCAAATTGAATCGACAATACCGTTTGAAACAAACTCATTGTTATTATTATTATATCTAATAATTATGTCGTAAATAGGGACAAATTCCTCCGATTAATTTTGTTTTAATTTTTAATTTTATATATATTTTGAGTAAATCAGATGCAATATTGTGACAAATACTGAGAATTCCATTCTGTATTATAAGTACTGTTTTTGGAATAAAGTAAATTATTATTATTATTTGGGCTGAAGACGGATTCCCATAGTGGTTCTGTCAGTTTCCTTGTATGCTTCTCCTTGTATAGTGAATCTAATATTTATGCGCATGCCATGATAATATTTCTGATGTACTTGACAGGTAATGGTATTTGTATTCAATTGCTTGTGTTGTAATCGTAAATGAAGTCGATTTAATCTCTCTGTTTTGCATATTCCTAGAACAACTTGGAGCTAATAGCACGAATATAACCAGTCAAATAATGGATAAAGAGAAACTAAGAATCGATTATGCCACAGCTTTGGCTTTTACAGTGGGAGTTATACAAGTGAGCCAGATTATTAGAAGTATTTACGAATTATACTTTTCTTAAGAATGTATTGTACGGCGATGGTGTGGAGCCTAATAATTAGAATTTTTAATTTACGCTTTGGAAGAAAATAGGATTTAATTATGCTTATAATGGCAGTGCGTCGGTGGCACAGCGGTGAGGACTCTCGCCGACCATGCACATGGTCCGAGGTTCGATCCCCCGCCGACGCACACCTGATATATATGGTCGGCCTGCTAAATTTGGGCTACCGATATCACATGCTGAAAATTTCATACTTGCATGAAAATACTGTGTGGAATCAAGCTATAATAAAATAAAATAAATAAATAAATTTTTCTTAGACCAATTATTTTAGAGGATAACTGTCAGTGTGTTGGTAGTTTGGTGGTAGATTATACGATAACTACGCACGCGGCACAGGTCCGATTCCCTGCCAATGGACGCACTCCTAAACCCTGCCTACTGTACTAGCCGATAGTGAGCTCGGTTGAGAGGGGAGGCCGGGATTCATGCTAGTAACTCCACCCTGTTAAATAGACACCAGTTCCACTGAAACATCAAAGCTGACGCTTGAAGCCCTATGGTCCATTTAGAATACATAGGAATTAGAAAGAAATCAAAGAGGGATGAACACAGCAACAGCGACAGTTTTTGCAGAATAATCTGTAGTCTGTGTTAAACCTCCTTATTGTTAGTTGATAAGCATGGGTGCAATCAAGAAATCTTCAAGGAAGGATTGTTTTACTTTGGGTCATTGCTTTCAAGTTACCATCAGGCTTTCTGGCGCAGAAATTTTCTTGGATTCACTTTTAGTTTTCATAGTATACTTTATTGAGTCCACCTGACTGTCTACATTTAAAAGAGTTTTTTCAAATCCCTCTAATTTATTATATCGTGCGTATCATCTGCATACCTCCACAAAGATTTCGCTGATGACTGGAATGGTTTGAGTGTATTTTATTCGCAAAACTTCAGGGATTTGTCTGTGGTTATTACTGAGACAGCTGATCCTGTGATTATTCTGTAATTCTATTGGTATAGTTTTCCTTCAAATATGAAAACAGTTATTCGACAAAATTTTCCCCCATTTCACCGTGTTTTTTTCACAGATAACTCTGATCTGTTTTTAGACCACCTTTATTTAGTCTTGCTCTTAGTGCACCCATAGACATTTTGTATACAATAAAACTAAGCAATATATCTTTCCAATCTATTTTAGTATATGTAGGTTATTTTACCGGTCCCTTGAAATACCTACTATTGGCCTTAGTATAATGGCCAGGATTTTAGATAAAATAAACTTTATCGTATCTCGGGAATCTACAGTGGCTTAAAATATGAATACTCTGGACCCATAAGAAGACTCTAGAACAGCCGGATTTCGCAGATGATTTATGTTTAATGTCATACAAACTCGATGAATTACTGCAGAAAATCAACAAGGAAGGAGCATCAAGTACAGGAATCCGGGTGAAAATATTAAAGATGGAGGTGATGAAGATAACCAACCAACAGCAACAACAACCAACATTAGTCACCATCAACGGAATAAATTTTACAGAGGTCACTTCCTTCACTAATCTAACTGTGAAGCATGGTTTCAACCAGAGGCAGTCGGAAAGGATGAAGATGTAAATTCTAGCCAGAGTTGAAAAGGCAAGATATGCGTTCATCACTCCAAAATCAGTCTGAGAATCTTCTGACCATAGTGTAAAAACAACATGGGGATTTTCAACATCAATGTTAAGTCAGTCGGTTCTCCTGTGTGGGTCAGAAACTTAGTGTGTGCATCAACAGAAGCATTTCCAACAGGCTGTTGTAGACGTTTATCAACAGCTGCCTACTTCACTGGCTCAATATTGAAGATCGAATGGCTGGTCGGCCAGAAAGAATTACCAACAAGAAACTCTGGGAACGACCCAACCAAGAGCCGATTGCTCAACAAATATTTAAGATAAAGCGGAGATCAATTCGTCACACGCTGAGGAGACTATAAAATGACGTCACATGCCAAGCAATCCCTAGAGTGTAACCAAAATGGGAAACAATGGGTTTGTCGTTCAAGGGTGACATGAAGCAGATCGTGTGAGGAGGAGATGAGAGATTATGGGCAGTCGCTGATCCAGCTAAAAAGAACAGCAGAAAACAGAAGAAACAGAAGGGCTATTGAAGCCCTATGTCATACTAAGAACCGAAGGGAATGATAATAATAATACAGTCGGTCATATTAGGCACTTTTCTCTATGTAGTGTTACCGCCCCGTATGTCAGAGGGAGAATATAGGACTTTGATATAATTTCAGGCCATTTAAATTTACCAATTATTTCTTTCATGCCCCTCATGCTATTCGTCGTTCTCTTTACCATTTTGTCAGTGACTGTGTCAAACAATTTGATCATGAGGGTATTATACCCAGATTGTAGACATCAACTGATTTTGTTTTACTTATATATTGTTTTTTCACGATCACTGTAGCATTTCGATTGTTTGTTTGGGCAATTACCATGTATCCTTTTCCATCCTTATTTCCTAGTGTGTTTTGGTTCCTTCCTTGGTCATACTGAGTTGTCTAATCTTTGTCTTTTCAACTGACAGTTTAAATTGTACTCCTGCCAATTCAGCTGTTCACTTTTCACATTATTCTAGAAGTATTTCAAGAACCTATATATGTAACATCTTCCAGTCTTATCATCTTTTACTGTTCTTACTGATTATTATTCATTTGATTAATAGGCTTTCCTGCACCACTTCTGTTGGCTCTCTGTTTGAAGTATTTTTAGTCCAATTCGCTTCTGACAAGTGTGTGTCATTTGAGTATCTCTCTCAATGAATTTTTCAACCTTGTTTCTGTTCAGATGCGTCATAAATAGTATGGATAATAAAAACTCCAACAAATGATATGACAAAGTGAAGTAATTTTTCATGAAATGTTTCGAAAATTAAAAAAGAATATGAACTTGTGTAAATAGTCATTAAAAATATATAGTTAAAACAAAACTGACCCATCCTACAGTTCACAAGCTGAGCAGAGTTATTATTATTCCAGCTTAAGTATTTTTTGAATAAAGTAAGAAATACAGTTTTTGCAGAAGAAATTGGTACCGTCGTTTATTTCTCTAGCTTCTCATCTCCCTTGGTCTTTAGATATGATCTTATTAACTGATTAGAAATGCCCATTAAAATTTTCAAAAGAGTGGATACTGAACAAAGAGTACTCTTTTCGATAAATTCATCATCGTCAGGTTCTACAGTAATATATACATTATAGTGAATGAGTGAATTAGTGTTATGAACAACATTAATGTTGTTTAATTAACATCGAATCAATAATATTGATAGATTACAGTTGAATAGCACCAGCATAACAATCAACTCAATGTCAGAAAAATTATGAAAGATAATATTACAAATTCATGAATTTATAGTCTCTACTGAAGGCCGGCCAGAGCAGTAATAGTGCCTGGACTTGCTTCATTTGAACACAGGGCACTGGTTGTTTGAGGCGAATCGCAATAGCCTCTGCTGTTTGGAGCATGCGGTGTTTCGACGATTTTGGTAATTTGTTAGGCACCCGGTAGATTATAGAGAAGGATTCTTCTACGCTGGCTTTGTGACCGGTTTGCACCAGATGGTCTAATATCGAGCTGTTAATGGTTTCAACTACACCTTTACTTAGCCATAGTGAGATATGTCCTCGAGCACGAAAAGTCAAGTTCCTAGAGCAACGGCCAATATTACTAGCCCCACAAGCGCAGTTGAATTGATAGATAAAATTTGCAGTGGCCGGTCTAGGTACTTCATCTTTCAGTCGAGGAATCACCATCGGTCATGTAGAGAATAAGACGTGTAGTTTGGCAGCATTAAAAGTTCTTTGAACTGATTTTCTTAATTTCCTCGTAATTATCTCACTTGGTATATCGCCCTTGAATTGTAGTCCTATATATAAAGGCTTCTTGTTTACGGATAGTGAGTAGTCCTTTTCCGCTTTCTTTGTCATGTGTTTCTTGATAAATTTTTCGGGATAATCATTTTCGGTTAAAGTATCATATACCATGCTTAATTCATCTTCAATTACTTCTTCTGAGCATATAGCTCTAACTCTGTGGCTGAGGGTCTTCACTAAATTTCTTTTGTACTTGATAGGAACGAAGCTGTGAAAATGTGTATATTGTCCTGTCCATGTGCTTTTTCTATGCAAATTTCATTTTATGCTACCATCTGGTTTTCTTGTAAGTAGGACATCCAGGAAGGCAGTTTTGTTTTGGGATACCTCTTCTCATGTGAATTTCATAGCCGAGTGTACTTGATTGAATTCAGTAATTACTGTACTCCTATCAGAACCATTATCAGAATGAATGAAGGTATCATCCATATATCGGCAATAAAATGAGAGCTTACCGATAAGGTTGTTCAGAGGTCCATTTTGTAGCTTACTTGGAAAGAAATCAGCCAGAATGGGACCCAATCGGGAGCCCATCGCTACCCGTGCACTTGTCTGTAAAGCGCGCCGTCAAATTTGAAGTTTACAATTATGGTACATTTCAATGTCAATTCTTTTAGGATTTCAATATGGATTCCAATGTTTATCGACTTTTGTCCACTTGTTCACATATGTAATTAACTGTTTCTATTGGAGGTACATTTGTGAATAACGATGTTATGTCCAGAGATCTTATTATTACTATTTCCTTGGCTAACGAGTGGAATACATGGCTTCATCAGAAAATCTCCACTGAGTCCTCTTCAAACGGCTCCACAACTGAACAAAGTCTCTCATCTACTCCTCAAACGATATCTATGTCGCTCTCATACACATGCTCACCTCGTCATTTCCCACTCACCTTTCACTCTAGTGATGTCATGCCTGGCTCGTGATGTCACATAAACATCTCCTCAGCAGGTATCGGGTTAAGCTTTATTTCCTTTTTCAAATTTGTTGAGCAATAGGTTCTTGAGTGGTTCGTTACCAGAGTTTCATGCTGCTAATTCTTTCT